TCCCCATTCCCAATTACCCGCTCTTCCAGTCTCCATTCCCCGTTCCCTGTTCCCTGTTCCAAATTCCCCGTTCCCCTATTCCCCATTTGACAATTACTCATTCCCCCATCTCGTTCCCCACTTTCAATTCCCATTCTTCCATTCCATTCCCCTGCTCCCTGTCTCCCCCATTCCCCAGTTCCACATTCCCCATTCCCCGTTCCCCGTTCCCCATTCCCCACCCTCGTTCCCACTTTCAATTCCCATTCTTATTCCATTCCCCGTCCCCGTACCCCGCTCCCCACTTCCCATTCCCATTCCCCGCTCTCAGTCTCCATTCCCCGTTTCCCTGCTTCCAATTCCCCATTCCCCTCCCGTTCCCATTCTTGTTCCCCGTTTCCCCGTTCCCCCATCCCGGTTCCCCATTCCCCATTCCCCATCCCGTTTCCATTCTTTGTTCCATCCTCGCCGTTCCCCGTTCCCTGTTCCCCATTTCCCATTCCCATTCTTATTCCATTCCCCATTCCCCGTCCCATTCTTCTTATTCCATTCCCCGTTCCCCGTACCCCGCTCCCCACTTCCCATCCCCTTCCCCGCTCTCCAGTCTCCATTCCCCGTTCCCTGTTCCACATTCCCCATTCCCCATCCCCGTTCCCATTCTCTGTTCCATTCCCCGTTCCCCATTCCCCATTCCCCATTCCCCGTTTCCATTCTTGTTCCATTCGCCGTTCCCCGTTCCCTGTTCCCCATTTCTCATTCCATTCTTATTCCATTCCCCATTCCCCGTTCCCCGTTGTTCCATTCCCATTCTTATTCCATTTCCCCATTCCCTGTTTCCTGTTCCCATTTCCCATTCCATCTTATTTCCCCATTTCCCAGTCCCATTCTTATATTCCATTCCCCATTCCCATTCCACCTCCCCATTCCCCGTCCCCCATTCCCTATTCCCATTCCCATTCCCCGCTTTCCATTCCCCATTCCCATTCCACTTCCCCATTCCCCTTATCTCGGCGACCCCCCCCCCCCTGGTTCCCATTCACGGACCTCCATGGAAAAAATCCCCAGTCATGAATCTACGAACATTATGAACACGAAATAGGACCTTTATTATTATTATTTTCTCTTTGTTCTTTTTCATCCGTTTTCCCCCTTCTCCCCTTGTTCTTTAATTATTGCTCTATTGATTTTTTTTTTTTTGTTTTTCTTTCTCTGGATTTTTTACTCTTTCTGTTCTTCTCGGTCTTCTTACTCTCTTTTATCTCTTCTTCTCTAATT